GTTTGGAGAAAAGAGGAAAAACGAAAATGAGGGATTAAGCCTAAGAATGGGTTTAATGGATTTGGTCCAATTAGAGGAAATGGTGAAAAAATGGTAGATCAAGAAACAACTGAGGAAAACTTGAAATTGGAAGGCATCTCAGACGTTTTCAGAATTTAAGAATTACCGTATTTGCAATATTCTAGAAGCCCACTCAAGTCGACAAGTTTGAGCTCAATTATCTCGATTTCTGTAACAGATATCTAAAAATTGTCAACTGATAAAATGTTTTTCAAAATATCAGCAGCATATTATCAGTTGATAAGTTTTTGATATCTTTTACAGGAAATGATAAGCTTAAAGTTTAGGGTATACGGTAGCTCTGAAAGGTAGCGGTAAAAATGGCTGGGGCACCTCTTGCGCATGTTCCATAAACTTGAATACCGTAAAACCTCTAATAGAACGACACCCGGATCGTCCACTTTGAGCCTATATATCTCATTTTCTGTGAAAGATATCAAAAAGAGGGTAACTAGTAAAATGTTGCTGATATCCTGATAAATATTTTACTAGTTAACCACTTTTTGATATCTTTCAAAAGCACTGAGANANANAGGCNCNNAGTGNACGATCCGGGTGTCGTTCTATTAGAGGTTTTACGGTAAGTTAAACATTCAGAAAAAGGTAACAAGTGTTTCATTTCCTCCCGTATACGGGGAGTTTTTTTCCTCCAACATTCAGTATCTCAAGTGTTTGATTTAATTCCCTCTCTCTCTCTCTCTCTCTCTCTCGCTCCAACACGTACTTGAAAAGGGGAACGTATTGTATTATAATACCTGTGAAAAATGGCGGGATTCTGGAGAGAACATACCTGTGTGAGATGTTTATTTGTTGACAAACGGAGAAGAAGAGGAAGAATGGGGATGATGGCAGAAGAAAAACTGCAACATTCTTTATTGGGTTTAAGTTTACATTTGGGGTTTAGGATGAAAGGTCAAAAAAGGAGCAGCGAATAAAAAATCAAAAGAATACGGTAGGGTCAACGGGGTTGTGATACGAGGCAATATAACTAATCTAAGGCACCACGGTACCATAAGCATGGCATTACCATATATGCTTGGTACCATGCTTTCAATATATGGATCGCTACAGAGCACTTGTCGATGACATCAAACTGTAGTTATGGCAGTTATGATTTCATGATACTACTATGGTACTGTGAGGAGTAACTACCATAGATACCATAATACTATAATACCGTAATACCATAGATACCATAGATACCATAGATACCATAGATACCATAGATACCATAGATACCATAGATACCATAGATACCATAGATACCATAGATTCCATAGAACCATAGAACCATAGAACCATAGAACCATAGAACCATAGAACCACGATACCATGATACCATAACACCATGGTACCATTATACCATAATACCATGATTTAATGATACCATAGATACCATAGATACTATAGATACCATAGATACCATAGATACCATAGATACCATAGATACCATAGATACCATAGATACCATGATTTAATGATACCATGATACCATAAGCTCTAAAACGCGTTTTCCAACAGCAAAAAAAGTGGGTGTTCCGGGGAAAAAAGGAAAAATGAGGTAAAAGTGTTCGCGTTCCAAAAAAAAAGTGACAAATCGAATTAGGTGAAAAGGTATCAGGAGGGAAAAAACTGGGGAAAGGACATGATGATGATGGATAGGTGATCATAATTTTTGACAGGTTTTTTTGAAATGGAGGAGATTTATTGTTAAGAAAAAAGATTTTGGTTTTAGAAAACCGTAAACATTGAGCTCATATACCTCATTTTTTGTAGAAGATATCGAAACGTTGTCAACTGATAAAATGTTTATCATAATATCAGTCACATTTTGCCAGTTGACACATTTTTGATATCTTTCACAGGAAGCTAGATAAATTGGTTCAAGGGTAGGCATTAAAAAAAAACTCAAAATTTTCTAGACCTATCCCAGTAAGTGTGTTTTTTTTCACCGAACACTACACTTCAAAATGAATGGGTGGGCTCTCATTTGCATGTTTATTTAGACGTCGGATCAAAAATTTTTCTAGGAGAGGAAAGAGAAAAAAGTGAACGAGTGTTTTTTTTTTTGCCAAAAGAATGCTTCACACATTTTTCCAAAGAACCTGTCTGTAGGTGTGTGATGACTAGGAAAAAGTGTGACGTGGCAAAATACTAAAATCTTGTTATCTGAAGAGTAGAGGATAGCTATCCTTGAAGGACCTCTAATAGATGCCGTTAACATTGAGCTCAAATTATCTCGGTTCCTTTGAAATATATCAAAAATCTGTCAACTGATAAAATGTTTATCACAATATCAGCAATATTTTATTAATAAACAGGTTTTTGACATCTAACACAGGAATCGAGATATTTAAGCTCAAAGTGCTCTATTAGAGCAAAAAACATCCCAAAAGAATTCCAAAAAATTCTTCTAGGAAAAAATGATCTGTGCTAAGAATGAGCAATGTCATCCATGCACACACGTCTCCACCCTTTTAGGAATATTACTATCCGAGTGATGAGTCAATATTTCAAAGTTGTATATATCACAAACAAACTGTTCTCTCTTTTTTTTATAGCCTATGACCTAGCCCCTATGGCTATCAATATTGACTTTGGTGTGGAAGAATGGACAAAAAATAGGGAAAAAATGTGGTAAACACGATCGGCTTGAAAAGAGGATTGTACGGTTAGGGACAAAGTTGCAAAAGGGTTTTTTACATACTTGTAACGGGCCG